GAGAAAGAGAGAGAGAGAGAGAAAGATAGATAGAGAGAGAGAGAGAGAAAGATAGATAGAGAGAGAGAGAGAGAAAGCTGGTGGAAAAGAGAGCGCACCGGGTGAAGGAAAACGGAGAAGCCAAGAGAGAGAGAGAGAGAGAGAGAGAAAGAAAGATAGAGAGAAAGAAAGAAATAGAGAGAGAGAGAGAGAGAGAGAGAGAGGAAGAGAGAGAGCTGATGGAAAAGAGAGACGCACCGGGCGAGGGGAAACAGAGAAGCCTAGAGAGAGAGAGAAAGAGAGAAAGAAAGAAAGAGAGAGAGAGAGAGAAAGATAGTTAGAGAGAGAAAGAAATAAAGAGAGAGAGAGAGCCGCCGGAAAAGAGAGACGCACCGGTCGAGGGGAAGCGGTATCGCGGGGCGTAGAGCGAGAAAGCGAGCGGACTGAGCGTCGTTGTGACGAAGACGGAGGCCGAGACGGAGACGGAGACGGCTCCGGCGATGACGGCGGCGAGTGGGAGGCGGTTCACCGAGCCGTCCCGTTACATTATCTGCTGTTAGTCAGTCAGTCGTGCCAGCGATCCCGACGCGAACGGTAAAAACGAGAGTCGACGCGGCCGTTCGCGGACCAATTCAGCCCGACAGCCCGAGAACGATAACCGGTCGCCGCGAGCGCGCGCGCGCGCGTTCCTCGCGAAACTCTGAGAGATCCGTTGCGCGAGAATCGATCGAGAACGGGAACGGGCGTCGATCGGGTCGCGCGAGAGCTCGTTCGCCGCGAGCCACCGTGGCGAATACATACGTGTATACCGGGGAGGTGTGAAAAACTGTGCGCGAAAGTAGAGAGAAAGAGAGAGAGGGAGAGAGACGGCGACGTCAGAGGACGCGAGGGAGCCGACCGATCCGGGCTGCGCGGAATCCGATCGTGACTCGCGATTCGGTGAACTCTCGGAGCTCGAATCGACTCGGCTAAGATCGCCGAAAGGAGACCGTTGGGAGACCGTTGGGAGACTGTTTCGGGTGAAAGGAGACCGTTGACAGGATCCCGGATCGATCCTCCCGGCGAGAGAGAGAGAGAGAGAAAAGCCGAAACGCGGAGATCCGCGCGATCGACGGATCGCCGCCGCAGTCGCGATCGATCGAACGGACGTAACGGGCGCCAAAGGACGATCTAGCCGGGATGTCGCGCCGGTCCGCGTCGCGTCGGTGAAAGTAAATCGCGTCGCCCTCGACGGACCACGTCGCCGGACCCCGTCGGACCCCGCCGTCCGTCTCCTGTGCCCGGCATCGAGAATCCCCCGCGTCGATCGATCGCATCGCCTCGCATCGCATCGCATCGCGTAGATCGCGAGATCCGGCCATGACCAGCGGTCCCGACGTCGCCGCGTGAACAACAACAACCACCGCTCGCTTTCCAGCCGCTCGTTTCCGCGACGAGTTCGCGACACGTTGGCGATTCACCAACGTTGGGGACTCGCCGCGACTGTTACGGCGACAGTCTGGCCAACGGTGCAGCCGCAGAGAATCGGACTCGAGCGAGATATCCGGCCAGTCGACAACGATGACCGTGGTAATGTGTCTCGAGTGGTCGGCCGGCCGCGCGACCGCGAGCCGGGAGGACGATATCGTCGCGAACGAACGGAGCGCGAGCGGAGCCGCCGCGGTCCTCCTCGGCGCCGCTCGATCACCGACGGCCGCGCGCTCGCGTCCATCGGGATTCAATAGATCGTTCGCTTGTTGCAGGTTATGGAGGAGACGAACACGTTCGTTACGTGGCCGGCCCGACTCAAGATCGGAGCGAAGTCGAAGAAAGGTGAGTCTCATTTCGCGGGCGCGCGCGAACCTCTCGCTTCGATCGGGAACGCGATCGCGATCGGTGGGGCCCGTCCGCGGCGCCGCGACGCGTCGCGCCGCGCCGAGGAACTTTCTGCCGGAACGGAACGTCCACCCGGAAACGACCGTCGAACCGGTGACGTGTCGCACAGGCCGCCTCGAAGTTCGACGACTTTCGCGACCTTCGGAGAGGACAGAGGTGCCGAACCCGAGCCAAACGGGGCGCCGCTCTCCGGTGGAGCGGATCCGCTTCCGCGCGCGGTGTTTTGTGTTCCTCGGCGCTGGCCGTTTATCGACCGAACCTCGTTACACGTACACACGCGTCAGTCGATTACGTCAATCGTGGGCCGCGTCGACGACTGGTTTGCCGTCGACCGCTGACGTTTGTATCCGCGTATTTTCTTACGACGACTATTTACGGCTCGTCCGAGCGAATTCCCGCCGCGCTTCCCTCCCTGTCCTCCGACGCGGAGCTTCGATTTTCACGGACGGAGTCGCAGGTTACGCTGCTGCGATCGAAGAAGCGTCTTTCCTCGTTCTTTTTTCGCGTTCCTATCGATCGTATCGATTGATAATCGCGAGAGACGGACGCCGAAGCGCTCAGAATTCGCGGCTCGGCGCGGCGCGGGGAAGAAATCGCTCGGAATACGCGCGCGGACGCTGGATTAGCATGACGCGGAGCTTTGATTTTCGCGAACGGAGCCGCAGATTTCTTTCTTCGGTATTCCATCGATCGTATCGACGGATAATCGCGAGAGGCGGACGCCGGAGCGCCCAGAATCCGCGGCGCGGCTCGCCGCGGCGGGTCGAAGAAATCGCTCGGGCCGCGAGCGCGGACGCTGGATTAATTAGAGCGCACCCATTAATCGAAAGTGATTACGAAACGAGACTCGCATGCCTGCTCTGGCGCAGTAGCGCGTGTCGCGTCGGTGAAATAAAACCGCGGCTCGAAGACCGGCTTTGCCCACGGAACCGAGCCGAGCCGAGCCGAGTCAGGCCACACAAACCGCCGTCGCCGCCGCGATCCTCGGATCGACTGACTGGGGCGCGAGCACGGCCGTCGACCGTCGCCGCGACGGCGACGACGGCGGTCGTCCAGCGGAAACGTCCGCTCCGTTTGTTCGCCTGTTTCCGACTCGTCGTTCGTTCGCCGCAGTATGTTGTTCTCTCGCGTTCGCCGCCTCGCCGTGCCGTGGAAACTTTTCGGTGATTCATCCCTTCCTCGTGACCCGTGAACAGCTGTTACGTTCCTCCTCCTGCAGCGCGCCGCGTTCTTCCCCCACCCCCCGGCCCGCCGCGCGTCGCCCGCCGCGCATCGCAGTCGGCCGCCGCTTCCTCGTTCGCGTCGCCGCCGCGTCCCTCGGGCCGCGTCCATCGCGGCCGAACGGGGGCCGATCGTGCGTGACAACGACTCGTAATCCGGTATAAATAGGACTCACCTCCTACCGATTTTCTAGCTCGGCCGCGGCAGGCTTCGCCTCCCTCGAAGGAAACGACGTTTCGTACCCGGACCCGGCGCGCTTCGGGAGGACGACTTTTTCCTCGCCGCGCGGTCTCCCGCGGCCGACGCAACCGGAGCGCGGCCGCTCGCCCCGCTCGGCGAGCGAGCGAGCGAGCGCGACGGCTCGCGCGAGCCTCGAGAGGACCGTTTTTGCCGCGAGAATGCGGGGAACCGTTATTTCCGCGCAAACTATCGGCCGACCAGGCGAATTAATAAGTTCGGACGACGCGGCGATCTCGTCGTTCCACGATCGCGCCGCGAGCGAGCGAGCGAGCGAGCTGCGCCGAGCCGAGCCGAGCCGAGCCGGGCGTGACATTCGACGATAGAATCATTCTACTTTCGATTCCTTAAAAGGTCGAGCCAGGATACCGAACGGTATCCGTGTATCTGCTCTCGACGATCGTGAAATTATGCAACTGTTCTTTTTTCTTTCTTTCTTTCTTTCTTTCTTTTTTTTTCGTTTTTTTTTCGTACCGCGACTTTCCACCCGATCGCCGCGACCCCCCGCTACACGCACACGCGATTCACCGATCATGATCGCGTCGTGGTGCCGGCTTTCGGACGGCCGCGGATCTTGCCCCGTCATCGAAATATGTATCGACGAGGCGCTGTCGTGTGTTTCTACTTCGATTCGATTCGATTCGTCGACGAACGATCGGCGCGCGTCGATCGCATCGGTGCGGCAAATTCTCGCGAATTTTCCTTCGGCTTGCGAACGAAAATCGACGATTTGGGAAGGGGTTTATTGCTTATTTAGTTTATTTAGGTTTATTGTTATTTGAGCCTTGCATTTTATTTATTTTATTTATTTTATTTAGGGTTTTTGTTATTGGAGCCTTGCGTTTTATTTATTTATTTTATTTCGGCTTGTTATTTGAGCCTTGCGTTTTATTTATTTATTTTATTTAGGCTTTTTGTTATTGGAGCATTGCATTTTATTTATTTTATTTTATTTAGGCTTTTTGTTATTCGAGCCTTGCATTTTATTTCTTTATTTTATTCGGGCTTATTGTTATTCGATCCTTGCATTTTATTTCTTTATTTTATTTAGGCTTATTGTTATTCGAGCCTTGCATTTTATTTATTTTATTCTGGCTTATTGTTATTCGAGCCTTGCATTTTATTTCTTTATTTTATTGCATTTTATTTCTTTATTTTATTTAGGCTTATTGTTATTCGAGCCTTGCACTTTATTTCTTTATTTTATTTATACTATTGCATTTTCGTCAAGGGAAAAGTTACTTCGAATCATCTCAGAAACCCCTCGTTTCTCGCTTGAACAATACTTTTGGGACACCCTGTGTGTGATAGTATATACAGTAAATTCTCTCCGATTGTCCCTCAGCTTGTCACCTAAAGCGGGCAGTTTGAGGAGAGGAGATACTGTTGTTCAAACATTCGTGGCTTCAAACTTCGAATAATCGCATCCCCTCTCTTCCCAAGTCGTCCACTTTTGTTTACAAGTTGGCGGAAAATCGGGGAGAATTTACCGTATTCGGCGAGACGACGACTCGAGGAAAATAACTTCCCGCGTTCAACCCTTGATGCGATGGCATCCGCTCTTTTCGCGAAATCTTCCTACTTCGAATTCTGCCAAGTTTAGACTGTTGCGGACTGTGTTGGTCACCGCGTAGATATTTTCCACGTCAATGTTTGAACGTTCTCGGAATTCCGATTTGTCTCTCGCTATCCACTGGTCGTGTGCAGTCAATTGTTCGTCGGTTTCGACCAGCTCCGCCCGAATCGCTGCAACAAGAAGTCGAACCGAACGAGTTCAATTTCGCTGAAACGTGGAATCGCCCGCGATATTTTCGATGCGGATTTTCATTAATTTGTTTATACTTATTCGAACGGGCGGGTTAATAGCAACAGCACGATCGTCAAGACCGCCCTTTAGGACTACTTCTTTCAGTTCGTCGAGATTTAGGGCGATTCACCCCTTTAGGGCGATTGGCCCTATTCACGGGACACTTAAATTCGTTAGCGGCAATATAATAATAATAATTATAATAATTATTATTAATAATATTATATAATAATATTATTATTATTATATTATTGTTAATTATTATAATATATAATATAATATAATAATAATATAGTAAATATAATATAATGTAATAATTATTATTATTATTAATATAAAAGTAATATAATAATAATAATAATTATTATTATAAATATAAAAGAAATATAATAATAATAATAATAATTGTTATAAATATAAAAGTAATATAATAATAATAATAATAATATAGACATATTCGCAGCCGATATCACAAAATATCGCCGAATTCGAACCAAAAGTACCGTTCTTCTGCAATCGATATTCAACCCTTTGCACTTGAGACTGTTTTTAAACTCCAAAACGAAGACATCTGTTCCAACCACAACAGTATTTCCATTTGTCGCGATTACTTTTATTCGATGCCCGAGAAATTGAACGTGTACGATTATACATAGAACGCATCAATTATTCATCAATTCATCGAAATATACGAACAAATAAAACAACGCGCCAATTCTCTAAAAAATAGCGTAACAATTTTTTAGCGCCGCCACAGAGCCGTCGTACGAGTGCAAAGTTTATGCAAGTAACAGTTGACTCACAGCGACTGTAAATTATCATGTCCTTCCGAGAAATCGTTAGGATCGAAACGGTTGCGATCATCGGGTCCGTGATTAAAAATGAAAAGAATATACAGCAAGGAGTTTTAATAAATATTAGCTTCATATTCATTCCTCATTATAAAAATTGGTTTTCCACCCGTACAAGTAAACAAACAAATCGATCAATCGATCAATCAATTCGGAAGAGTCGAGAATCGCCGGCGACGCACGACGCGAGCTAATTGTTATTTAAATTGCTATCGGTCGTCGGATCGTGCTCGGCGAAATTGTCAAGTAATAACGAAAGGTTGGCCGGTGTTATCGGGGCGCTTGCATAGGGCGGTCGCCGATAATACGCGTCGGACGTAGCGAGATAACGCGAGCCCGTACCGCGAAAAACGGCGTATCATCTGGAATAACGCGAGACCGCGTCCTCCTTTCGCCTTTCGAAAATAGGCGTGTTATCTTTCCGAAGGAAGCACGGTCTCTCTCTCCCTCTCTCTCCCTCTATGCGAGGAACGCGCGAGCGCGAGCGCGAGCTAGTCGCGCGATTCTCGCGCGATACCCGAGGATCCGGAGAAATCGAGCCGGTGATCGGATAAACTTCGAGGTTCTCGAACCTCGTTCGATCGGCGCGATCGGCGTCGGTTACCGCACCGAGACCCGAGCCGAGAGCGCTGGTTTCCGCGCGGAGAAAATGCCGGACCGCCGTGTCGAGGGCAACTTTCGCGTCGACCAGACCCGCGGAAAGCGGAATCGGCGATCGGGGTTACGCAACGCGGCCAATTACGCGAACGAAAATGGTCCGCGCGTGTGTCGTCGCGCGCCGCGCCGCGCCGTTTTATCGATCGCGACCGATCGACCGCGTCCGATCGGAGCGTTCGACGGCGAGGAGCAGGCTCCCGTTTCTTTTTTTTCTTTTTATTCGACCGCGGTGTATTTTTAGAGGAATCGCCTTAATTCTGGCATCGATCGTTCGGAAATGCGCTTTCGGTTCTCCAGAATTCGAGGCGGATCGATAGCCGCCGCAGAGCAGAAGTCGTTCGCGCGTTCGCGGAAGCGCGCCGAAACTCTGTTCGGGGTTACGAAACGCTCGCGAAACGCTCGCGATAGCGTCGGTTTTCCTTCGGCGAGACCGACGCGTCCTTCGTTCGGAGGAGGACGAGCGCGCGCCCGGAATCGAAGATTTTTCCGGCGAACCGAGCGAGCGATCGGATCGTTCACCTCGAGATACGGCGCGCGCGGCCTCGGCGAGACGCGCGTTCTCGCCTCGGATCCTCCTGCGGCCGTGCCGCAGAAAAACGTTAAAAGCCGTTCGATCGGCGGCCGGGCGTGCAGTAACGATCGGATCGCTGCCGGATCGACGATCGCTGCGCGAGAAAACAACGCGCGACCGATCGATCGCCTCGCGTCGTGCATTGCATAATTTCTTTGATCGGTGTTTTACAGATCCGCATATAAAGGTCGCGGGTCGACTCGATGACGTCCGAGCTGCGAAGGAGAAGATAATGGAAATTTTGGACACGAGGGTAAGCTGATCGCATCCACTCCCTCTCTCTCTCTCTCTCTCTCTATCTCTCGCTCTCTTCTGTCTTTGTTCTTTCGGTCGCGTTCGTTCTTGCTTCGGAGCGGTTCGCGTTTTGCTCCCGACGCGAAACGCGAAAACGGACAGCGAGAGAACAAGAGAGAAAGAGAAAGAGAGAGAGAGAGAGAGAGAGAGAGAGAGAGAGAGAGAAAGAAATCGTTCTCGCGACCGCTGTCAACTCTCGACAGGCGAATCGCGGTGCGCCGCGCGGCGCCGCGCCGCGCTCTTTACCGGATCGTTACGTCATTTGCGCGAGCACCGAGATTAGCTGTGACCTCGCCGATCGGATTTTGACTTTCGGTGGGACCGAATCGATCGGCTCCGAAACCCGCGTGCAAACATTTCTCCGCGGCCGTTATCGGCGCGATAATCTATCGGGTCCCGATAAGAAAAACCGCGCTGCCGCGTGAAAGCGAAAGCCTTCGCAACAATATGCTCGCGCGTAATCGATATCGCGATATTGATTTTTTCGTACGCGGCGCTCTTTTTTTTCCGTCTAAAGCGGCGCGCGGTAAGTTTCCATCATTTTCCGTGGTCGCGACTCTCTCCTCTCTCTCTCTTTCTCTCTTTTGTCTCGGGGCACCGCAGATCCGATTCGCGCGGCGATCGAGCCTCGATCGAGCCTCGCGTCTCCCGCGTCGTTGATCCGCGCCGCGGGAACGCCGCCGAGGAAAGAAGCGGAGTCGGCCGACAACGGCACGTAGGAAGAGGCAGAGCAGAGCGATTCTATTTATACGCGCTTGTCGTCCCGCGAATTCCCAGCCGAGAAAGCGAGACGCGGCGCGCCGTGACGGGCCCGGCCCGGCCCGGCCCGCGCGAGCCCATCCACTCGCCCGGCCGGCCGGACAACCGGTCGCCCGGTCGGGCCAGCCGGTCGGACGACCGACAGACCGACCGACCCGCTATCCGCCGCACGGTTATACCCGGCCCCGAATCCTCGCCTCGCGTTTCCTTCTCCGCCGCGTACCGTTATCCGAGACGCGACGCGTTCTCCAGCCTTCGCGACGCTCCGCGGGGCTCACGCAAGCGTCCTCCGCCTTCTCCTTTTTTTTCCGCCCCTTTCCCGCGTTCCCGCGCCTTGCCGCTGTCCTGCTGCTCGCGAGGTACCCGGTGCCACCGGCGCGCCGGGCCAGTTGCACGCGTCCGATCGCACGCGATGCAACGCGATGCAACTCATCGCGGGGCTTTCGATCGCAGCAGAGCAACAGGGTCACCATGAAGCTGGACGTCAGCTACACCGATCATTCGCACATCATCGGGAAGGGCGGCCTGACGATCAAACGCGTGATGGAGGAGACCGGCTGCCACATTCACTTTCCCGACAGCAACCGCAGCAACCATCAGGAGAAGAGCAACCAGGTGTCCATCGCCGGGGAGATGGAGGGTGTCGAACGAGCCCGCGCCCGAGTCAGAGTGAGTCGCGCGCCTATCCTCGGCATATTTTTTACAACGGGCGACTTCCTTTCGAAGTTACTTCGGAGTATTCTTTAACGGAAGTGGACTTTTTTTTCTTTTCTTTTCGAAGCTTCTTCGGCCGTTTCTTCGGTCCTCTTCGGGTTTTAATGTTCGATGATTCTTCGGCTTTTTTGGCCTTCGCGGCTTCTACGGTTTTTATCGTTCGAAGCTTCTTCGACTGTGTACAGTGACCCACAGATAATATAATATATTAAATCGAGCGAATATAATAATAATAAAATAATAATAATAATATATATATAATAATAAAATATATTATTATTATATATATATATATAATATTATAATATATATATATAATATATTAAGAGAGAATATAATAATAATAATAATAATAATGATAATAATAATAATAATAATATAATAATAAGTGAGAATATAATATATTAAGCAATAACTATTTTAAAACTGAACCGAATGTCTTGAATCGTTTTTTCAGATGACAAAGGGACTAGTCTATTGGACTGCAATGCTTTGTTTCTTTTTAATTTTTCCTATTACTTGGGATTGAAAGAAAAATAAAAAACTCTCGTCTCTTGACTTTTTCTATCGGATCTCTATTATCTACAACAAAAATTTAAAAGTTGCCTTTCGTGGGCGATTTATACGCGTGCTGAAAATTTGATTAACTCAGGCTCGAGCTACAGATGTTGAAAGCTGTAAAAAGCTGCGGATCTCTTTCGGTTTTCGGTCAGAATCGCGATAAAAAGCTGCGATTTTGCCCACGTTTAATTCGTTGCAACTCGTGAACAACGTCGACCGATCTCGATAAAACTTCCAGCACGTTTTTTAAATTTCTGTCACAGATGAAATAGTTGCAAAAAGAAACGAGACTTTATCATTCCAATTAATAGCAAAATTTAAAAATTCGTAATAGCCCAGTACACCAGTCCCGTTATCACCCCTCCAAAAAAAAAGATTCGAGTCACCCGGTCCAGTTTAAAAAAAACTGGGAAGACGGCGAAACGTTTCGAAACGCGTTTCGAGAACCACTTTTCCGAGCCCGGCGTGCTTCTTTTCGGCACATTCCCAACTCGCCTCGTTTTCCCAGCAGAAGTTGACGCCGCTGATATTCTCGTTCGAGCTGCCGATCATGGGCTCGTCGCAGACCGTGCCCGATTCCACGTCGCCGTACGTGGTCAAGATCCAGGAGAAGTACAACGTCCAGGTGATGTTCCGAACGCGGCCGAAGCTGCACGCGACGCTGGTCGTGGTGAAGGGCTGCGAGTGGGAGGTCTCGCAGGTCAAGGAGGCCACGATGTTGTTGATCCAGTATATGTGTCAAAACCTGGCTGTGAGTGGGCCCCGAACCGTTCCGTCCGATCGGCTCTCCTTTCGCCCCCGCGCGGCGCGTTGTCTCGCCCAGTAGTAACGATCCGTTTCCGGTCCGCAGAGTCAAATACAAGTACAAATGTCGATGGAGATCTCGCCGCAGCACCACAGTATCGTGTTGGGCAAGCAGAGCAGCAACCTGAAGATGATCATGCAACGGACGGCCACGCAGATCATGTTCCCGGACGCGGGCGACCCGAACATTCCCAGCCTGAAGAAGAGCAACGTGACCATCACAGGCAGCATCCACAGCGTTTACCTGGCCCGGCAACAATTGGTGGTAGGTCCCTCTTCTCGATCGCTCTCCTATCTTCTGGACGGTTCTCTGATTCATAATCATGGTCGATTCCAGGGCTCGCTGCCGCTGGTGCTGATGTTCGACCTCCCCGAGGACTCGATGTCGTCCGTCGACACGGAGAACGTCTCCCAACTGATGCAATCGCTGGACGTGTTCATAAACGTGAGACACAAGCCGAAGCAGAGCACGCTGTCCGTGATCATAAAGGGGATCGAGCGCAACGCCGGCAACATCTACGAGGCGAGGATGCAGCTGCTGGGTCTGGACGAGCCCAGGGTGCACGCCGAGATCCCGGCGACCTATCACATCCCGAACGCCGGCACCGTCTTCCATGGGAACTCCGCGAACGGCAATGCAGCTGGTTCGTATCTCGACGATTCTTCTCGCCGATTCTTCTCGCCGATTCTCATCGACTCTCTCTCCTCAGGCGGCAACAACAACAACAATAACAACAGCAACAACAACATGATCGGCAGCCTGTCGGAGAACCTGTCCAACATTCTGACGGTGAACACGCAGAATCCGCCGTACTGCGTGTCCCCGGTGAACCATTCGCCGAACCCGATGGGGCTGTCGCCCCACTGGGGCCTGCCCTCGTTGTCCTCCATGTTCTCGCCGCTTCAGCTGCACCACACCTACCCGTATCCGCACCTCAATCATCTGCTGACGACGCAGCACGTGATGCACAACAATCCCGCGATGCCGCCGCACACCCACGGATTACAGAACCACGCGTACCCCGGCATCGGGCCGCTGCACGCGAACATGTCCGCGGCCGGACTACACGGCATCCACGGGCTGAACGGCAGCCCGTTGGCGGAGCGGAAAGAGGGCAGCGGTAATGTTGATCGCATGACATATATTTTTGTTCGTTCATTTCGCGTACGGGTTTCGATTGCGTCCGGTAAATCCAGGCGAGATGGTTCCACCCCCAGATTTTTGAGAATAATCGGCGCATCGAATCGATGATTGAACGGGGAATAGATAGAAATTAATGATAGATATGTGGAATTATCGATGTGGAATGATGGAACAAGTAATAGAGACGCGCGAATATATTATTATAATATAGATATTTAAATATTATTATAGAATATATAATATTATAATATAGATATTTAAATATTATTATAAAATATATAATATTATAATAATATTATTATATGTAATAATATTATATAATAAAATATATAATATTATAATATTATTAATATATACTATTCTAAATTATATAATACTATTAAAATATATGCTATTATAAATTATATATAATACTATTACAATATTATCAATATATAATATTATAAAATATATATTATAATAGCGAAGAATCGAATGAAATTCTATGCGTAAATCGATTCGTACAATTAATCTTTCTGCGAGCTTTTCGCAAAGAAATCAGCACAACGTTTTCGCTGAGAAATGTCGGAAAATAATTTTTGGCCGATATACATTAACTTTTTACTACGTCTATAGTATATTGATTGACTCGTTTTCTTTAAATCTTTTATGTAAATCGGTGTAGGGAATGTTAGAGATGCCTCATTGTCAATTAGCCGTCTCATTGTCAATTAGAGTCGAATCGAACAGAATCATAAATACCGTAAGCAATTTTCTAGAATTTCACGGTACCATTGCCTCGTCGAGCATAGAAAATCTGCGGTCTAATTGTCGACGATAATTGAACAGCGTCTCATTTCACACGTTATTGTAGCTTACTCGTCGCTGAGCAGCGTATCCAGTTCTCTGTCCAGCCCGGCTATCAGCCCGCGGAACGTTTCCCCGGTGAATCCTGCCGAAACCAGTCCTAATCTAGGTGAGTCTTAGGTCACGCTAAAAAATAATAAATTTAGTAAACTATAATATAGTAATTCAGTAAATCCTCGAGATTTACTTTAAAATGATTTTTACCAAAGGCGTCGCGACAGGCACCCTTCTTTTCGCTTCGTAATAATTTTTACCAAAGGGGTCGACAGACACCCTCCTTTCTACTTTATAATAATTTTTATCTAACGGGTCGACAGACAACTTCCTTCTTACTTTACAATTATTTTTATCAAAGGGATCGACAGACAACTTCCTTTCTTACTCTACAATTATTTTTGTCAAAGGGGTGAACATATATATAATATACATATACATATATATATTTATTTATGTTATATATATATATATATAACTTTCTCAAAATTTACTTTGAATTACTCTACAATTATTTATATATATAATATAACCTTCTCAAAATTTACTTTAAAATTAATTGCTTTTACCAAAGACGTTAGAAAATACCTTTTCAAATTTTGCTTCGAAATCATTGTAAAGGTGGTTCTCCCTAATCGACTGTTCGACTTTCCCTACAACGATTATAAAAATTTGATAAAACACAGAATAAGGTAAAAATAGCGTTAACAGAAGGTTCAGCGATTTAATTGCTTACCGATCCGACGAATTTCGCTTTCGATTCGCGCAGATTTGGCCGGCATGCTGTCCGAGTTGTCCGATCGACGAGCACCCGGCTGCGAGAAGAAGTCGTTGGAGATGGTCGTGCAGCAGAATCTGGCGCCGTTCGACTACGAGCAGAAGAAATTATTGGCGTCGAAGGCGATGCNTAACTTTCTCAAAATTTACTTTGAATTACTCTACAATTATTTATATATATAATATAACCTTCTCAAAATTTACTTTAAAATTAATTGCTTTTACCAAAGACGTTAGAAAATACCTTTTCAAATTTTGCTTCGAAATCATTGTAAAGGTGGTTCTCCCTAATCGACTGTTCGACTTTCCCTACAACGATTATAAAAATTTGATAAAACACAGAATAAGGTAAAAATAGCGTTAACAGAAGGTTCAGCGATTTAATTGCTTACCGATCCGACGAATTTCGCTTTCGATTCGCGCAGATTTGGCCGGCATGCTGTCCGAGTTGTCCGATCGACGAGCACCCGGCTGCGAGAAGAAGTCGTTGGAGATGGTCGTGCAGCAGAATCTGGCGCCGTTCGACTACGAGCAGAAGAAATTATTGGCGTCGAAGGCGATGCAGACGAAACCGACTTCGAACGAATACCGTGTTCCTACCTCGGCCTGGTCCGGCTACGGACTCAGTCAATCCATTCCTCCGATTAGTACCACGGACCTGAGCAAGGTGAGTCGAGGAGGCCTTTTTTTTCAACCCCCCGAGTTACCGTATTTGGGTCCATTTCGTGGCAGAGTTGCAAACGTTTCATCAAAATTCTAATCTCGTAGGCAGTTTACCATTAGCTCACGGACAGCTAAGACCATTTTCGCAATTGTATAATTGTACCGTTTATTTACTTGAAAATGGTGTTAGTCCATTTCCTTTTTCTTTTAAATGAGATGTCGCGTAATCTGTGATTAATTTCGTGCAACCTTTTCATTCGTAATTGGTTAATATTTAATATCTTAAAAAATGTCAATGTTTTTTTTTCAATTTAAAATTGACTAATAAAAGAAATTGCGTAGAGATTCATTATGAAAGTGATCCATTAGTCCATTAGTTCATTCAAGTCCATTGAAGTCCATTGAGTCCATTAAATAAAGCCTGTAAATATTTATTATTTTAGTCACATTCGCCGAAAAAAGAAGTTTATATGATCAAATAAAATATTGACAAATTAGTAGAAACATTGCCGGACTCGATATAATTAATTTACACTTTTTGGTCGAATAATATGCCAACCTTTAATTGTCTCGAAACAACGAAAAATGGACCTGCGCCATTTTCGAAATAAACGGTTTTAAACAATCGACGATGCTTGGGACCATTTTCGGCTTTTTTCGAGACTTACTTTTATCACGATGCTTCTCGTAGATTTTTCTTGTTGTTATTACCAGCGTAACAGTAATTTCTTGAATTTAATCGCGGCGAATTGAGTACAGTAATGTCTCCCTAACTGACGCTCAGATTCTGCAGAAAAATGGACAATTTGAGAAGAGGAGATACGATTATTCGAGCCTTGCAGCTCGTTTCTATAATTGTGGACAATTTATAACTATAAAAATGAACCGCAAGGATATACGCAAGAATATACGAGTACACCAAATGGTTTATCCTGTCTAGAAATAATTGAATTAATAACGCGACTATCCTTCTTTCGAAACAGATTATAGAGATGTCTTTCTAATTGACGCTCAGATTGTCCACAAAAATGGACAATTTTTGCAGAAGTAGTTACGATTGTTCGAGTCTTGTGGCTCGTTTTTTTAAGGTTATCGATTGTCAAAAATTATAAAAACGAGTTGCAAGGCTCGAATAATCGTATCTCCTCTTCATAAATTGTCCATTTCTGTGCACAAAATCTGAGCGTCAGTAAGGGAGACATTATTGTACAGTAATGTCTCCCTTACTGACGCGCATAGATACGATTATTCGATTCCTGCAGCTCGTTTTTATAGTTAATGACAATTCGTGTCTACAAAAATAAACCGCAAGGATCGGATAATCGTATCTTCTCTTCTTAAATTGTCCATTTCTGTGCACAAAATCTGAGCGTCAGTAAGGGAGACATTATTGTACAGTAATGTCTCCCTTACTGACGCGCAGAGATACGATTATTCGAGCCCTGCAGCTCGTTTTTATAGTTAATGACAATTCGTGACTATAAAAATAAACCGCAAGAATCGGATAATCGTATCTCCTTTTCCTAAATTGACCATTTTTCTGGACAATCCGAGCAATGCCAATTAGAAGAGAGACATTAACGGTAATCGAGCGACGGTTTCACGCAGGAATTGACCAACACCGGCAGCAGTAGCAACGGTAGTAGCAGCTTGACATCCACGACCACTACCACCAACGCTGCAACTAGCCATCCGTCCGACTTATGGAAAGACCCAACGACGCCGGTGTTCAGCAGAGAGATTGACTTCGGAATAGTATCCGGCAAAGATCGCGTTGGACAGATCGGCATCAGCTCGTCGAATTTCGTAGATAGCACGGCGGCCTCGCATCTCAACTTAATCACGTCCCACAAATACAACGACTTGACCAGCATGCTGACCAACATCGGACTAGAAAAATATATACGTATGTATTGTATAGCAAAAACGCTTTCTCGCACGGTGTTCTCGGTCTTGCTTGCTCTTGTCGCTTTCGTGCTTGCTTCTGAAAAAAAATGGAAGAAAGAAAGCTTGCTGAAGAAAAAAAATATATTCGATCGGAATATTATATGTCGTAATAATTAAAATATTATCGCCAGAAAATATTCGATCGAACGTCGTCGAATTATGATCGATCACGATCGAAACGGAGATTAGTATTGCGTAGGCGCGTTAGACAAGCGTGACGGAAGAGTTAACGATGTTTACGAAAAAAAAAGATTATCAGAATAACAACGATTGCTGTCGACGTTATCGTTGGGTGAAAGTTATTTAAAGGTCCTCTCTTGTCATCTTGACGGTGCGTTGGTACTGCTTGTAATGCATGGAACAATGAGGATCGCAATAGGGGATAGTCGGGAAATGGGATGTTTAGGGAGGATTCAAGTTTTTTTCTTTTTTTTAATCGGGAGACGATATTTATATAATTTATGAAATACAAAAATAATTATAGTTGTGGTTACATTTACATTTTCATTGAAATTGTTCGGGAGAACTCTTGCACGAATAATTCTAATAATGATAATAATTATTAATATTGATAATACAATATTGATAATACAATATTAATAATATAATATTAATTATATAATATTGATAATACAATATTAATAATATAATATTGATAATATAATATTAATAATCTAATAATAATTTTAACGAATGCACGAACATTTTTGGTCCGGGGTTACGTTGCTTGCACTTGCAATCTACCCTATTTTCCCAATTTAAAGAATTCCGTGAAGAGTATAAAATGGATCCTGTGTCAAAACTATGACAACATGTAAATATAAATAATATATATAACAATTACCAATCCAATAATAATTCTAACGATCGATCGAATATTTTTGGTCCGGGGTTACGGTGCTTGCACTTTTCGTCTACCGTATTCTCGAAACTCAAGGGTTTCTCTTAAGAGTATGAAACGCATCCTGCGTAAAAAAGTACGAGAATGACCAGCTTTTCACACAGTCCGCTTGCTGTTGTACCGCTTCGCTGAACACACTTTGCTTCTGGTTGTTTTCTCCGGCAGGCCTGTTCACGTCGCACGAAGTGGACATGGCCACGTTTCCCTCGCTGACGGATAAGGATTTGTGCGAGATTGGCATAACAGCTTGGGGCGCGAGACGCAAAATAATGCTGTTGATCGCTGGTACGTAAGAGAGGAGTACGACGGTCTCGTATCGTTATATATGTATATTATATAATACATTATATATATAACTATAATATATTATATTATAGTATATACTATATATACTATATATGTATTATTATACTATTATTATACTATAGTATATTATTATTATATTATTATACTATATATCGTTATATATATTATATATATAATAATATAATATAATATTATATAATAATAATAATAATATTATATATAAGATATATTATATATATTATCTTCGCGTGCGGAGATTAAAAAAAGAAAAGAAAGGAGAAGGAAAGGTAACAATAACGATCGGTTCGCAGAAATGAACAAACGGACTAGTCCATTCTGCGGGAGCGCGGCCCCGGGAGCGGAGCGAAAAGCGACCGTCTCGACGACCTCGACTACGATGGATAAGTGCAATCTGGTGGATAGCAAATGGTAGGACGGGAACAAGATGAACGCCTTTCTGGGTCGAGATCCTCGCGATAATATTCCGCGAACCAAAATCATATCGGACTGTGGTACTTAAGGAAAAAGAATCACGCTCGTACCGCGATCGGTGAGAAGCGCGGTCGTCTCTCCAACCCCCCCCCCCCCCCCCCCCCCCCCCCCCCCCCCCCCACCACCCCCC